GTCATCTTGTTGTTGTTGTTTTTTAATCCTCACCTGGGGATATCTTTTCATTAATTTTTAGAGAGAGTGGGAGGGAGGGGGAGAGAGAGAAACATCAATTGGTTGCCTCCTGCATGCGCCCTGGGACCGGGGATAGAACCTGCAGCCCAGGACGCTGAGCTACACCGGCCAGGGTGCAGTAGATGATCTTAAAAGATGTTTAAAATGTTTGAAACAGTTACAAGCATAGAAAAGTTGGAAATACCAATACAAAGATCTCCTCCCCCAGCTATTTGAGAGTGAGTTGCTTACACCACACCCCTCACCCTTGAATAATTTGGTGCATTTCCTGAAGACCAGGCTCTCTGTAACCTCCAGAATCGGAGTTTAACACTGATATGTTGCCACCTTATACTCTTCAAACTGCCCTGACGTGCCACCAGTACTCTAACCCCCTTCCTTCCTCTCCAGGTCCTTTCTCTGTGAACAGGTCCTTAGTCTTCCCCTGACTTGTGAACGTGAACAGATGAATGTTGCAGGCTGGTCATTTTGTAGAATGTTCCCTCAAGTTAGGTGTGCCTTCTGTTTCCTCATGACTAACTCCAGGTTATGTAACTGCGGCAGGTGACGTACGCCTTCTCTCTGTCACATAACGGATGACCTTTGCTCTGACCACTTGATTTTGGGTTGTGTCTGCCATGCTGCACTGTAGTCACTTCCCTGTATGATCTGGAAGGGTTTTGTTGGGGTGTACTTTGAAACTATAGAACTATCCCATTTCTCACCAGTTTTTAAATGTATTAACTTACTAACGTCGCTGTGGACTCCTGGTTTCCCAGTGTACCTAGTGGGTTATAGCCTGTGCCTGTTAGTACTTACGTGGACTCACCGTTGTCTTTGAGCACTTTCTTAGTTTCCGCACAAGGCTCACCTTGTGCTCCTGACCCAGCTCTGGAGCTGCTAGGAGTCCTGGTTTCTTTGCTGCAGCTGGTATTTCGAAACTGAGATCTAACACTAGATACACTTGTTGCTGGGGTGTTGCTGCCTCCGGCCCTCTCCGTGGGCAGAGCTGCACTCTGCATGGACGCACCATTTATGTCTGGTGTTGTGTGTCACATATATTGAACACCCTGAGCTTACACCGCTGCCTCCAGTTCTGATCTAGTGCCTGGGGTTTCTGCTCCCTCCTCCGTTACTCCTGCCTCTGACAGCCAGGAACCTGGCTTCCAGCTCCTGGAATCTGTTTACTTTCTGGATTAATCCTCCTGTAGGTGACAGGCCTCCCACCCCACTCTCACCCTGTGCCCCAGCACGGATGTCCTCCCCACCCCTGCATCACCCCCTTTGGACTTCCCCTAAAGGTGGTGTTGAGGAAAGACCGGAGGGGCCTGGAGGAGGGAGAAGGGACTTGGGGCTTCCTGCCTGCTCCCCCTCCCTTTGAGTGACAGCAAGGTACTTTCTAGTGGTGGGTGGCTGATCCCAGTTTGACAGTTTCCCTCACTTGCAGGGGCCCTGGCCTCAGCTGGCTGGCGCAACCTCTCAGCTCCATGGGCCCAACCCGCTGTAGCACCCAACCCTCAGAGGTTGGAGTTCCAGCAGCACGAAGCCCTTTGCAGTGTCAGAAATTCCAACCCTTCCTTTGGTCCATCCTGACTCTGGCTTCCTGCATCTGCCCTGAATCTTTAGGGTTTTGTGGGAGTGTCCGGAGTATTGTGTTGGACCCTGCAAGAGTGAGTGTGTCTACAGCGAGAGCACTCATTGCTGGCTGGGCTCTTTCCTTCCCAGACACACTCTCTGGTGGAGAAATAGGACACGTCAGATTAGTTGGGATTGTTTTTTTTTCACGGTAAAGTGAAAGGTACCACTTGGCTCTCCCAGAAGATACCAAGGGAGGTTGTGGTCCTCAGTGGCCGTTAACACATTTCCGCTAGGAATTTTGGGAATGGTTATTTTTGGTGACATTTGAAAGAAAGAAAAATGAATCATAGATGACATTTAAGTTCTAGCTCAAGGTTGTTTTTGTTGTTGTCTTTTTTTTTTTTTTTTTTTTACCATCGCCTTTAAAAATAATTCAGGGCCTTTGTGTTCTGTTTTCTGATCTCTGTGCTGATGGGCATTTATAGCGATTGGCAGTAATTCATCGTCGATGGGCACTGAGAACCTTTTGGGCTCTGGCAGGTGTTCGAGTGATCAGTGAGCCGTGGGGATCAGACCTTGTGGTCTTAGGCGACTATTTAAGGGGAAACAATATAGAGTTAGGTTAATAATAAATATGGGGCTCAATTAGAATCCCAGAAAGTGTCAGATGGCAGGCATGTTTTTTGGAGAAAATGCAGATGTTGATGTAAGAAAGCAACACAGAAAGAGCCCCTGTACACTTTGCCCAGTTTCCCCCAATGGGAACGTTTTGCAAAACAGTAGTAGTGGAGGATTTGAAAAAGAACTGTGTAGAAAAAGTAGAAGTGAGCATAAAACACATGGATCTAGGCCCAAAGGTGAAAGTAGGAACAGGTGTAGGAGAGGCAGTTAACTGAATGGGTGCTGGGCTGAGGGAGGGTGGACTGTGGCCTGGAGTCCAAGTGTGTGGCTTATGGTCCCAGCTCTGACACTTGCTCCAGGCTCCTGGAAGGAAGTTACACAGACTCTCTGCGGTAGTTTCCTGGGGCTACTGTGACAAATTAGCACAAGCCAGGGGCTTACAAGGACAGAGCTTTTTTCCTCACAGTTCTAGAGGCCAGAAGTCCAAAGTCAAGATGTGCACAGGGCCTGCTTCCCTCTGAAGGCTCCAGGGAAGGAGTCTTCGCCGTCTCTTCCAGTTTCTGGGGTAGCAGTGTGGGGCACAAAAATAATGTTCTTGCCATATTCTAAGTTACTCTGCTGGGCTGATAACCAAATTCACAGGAGATGATTAACAGGAGAAAATGTCCAGCGTTTATCCCGGATGCCCATGTGTGGGTGCCGGGAAACTGAGACCCAAAGCTGCACTGGGCATGAGGTTTACGAGCCTTTCTGGACTAAGGAGAGAGAGGCAGGGGTCTGGGATGTCAGAGGGAAAGCAGGTAATTCACAGGTAGAGGAGAAAGAGCAGACTGATAACCAGATTCTAGCTGGGCCGCCAGAAACAGTGGGACATGGGAGTTAGCAGCCAGGCTGTGCCGGACTTCTCCCTGCGGCCATGCTCAGTTCAGACCACTGTTCAGGTGATGCCCCTTCCTGTAAGCAGGTTCTTCTATCTGAGTTCCTTTAGGCAGGTAACGGGAAAGGGCCAAGGGATCTTTCTGAGTCTTGTGTTTCTTAATAATCAGTTTAAAGTCAATACCCTAAAAGGCATGTTTTGGGATGGCAAAACTTTGGTCCCCCCAGCAGCCAGCCTTGGTGTTCCTGGCTGGTACCTGAGCCGCTCTGATGTAGGCCTCCATCTTCCCGTCGCCTTTCCATCTGTGTCCAAGTCCTCTCTTTTTATAGGGACAGCATTCAAGTTGGATTTAGGGCTCTGTCCATCCCCGTGTGTCCTCCTCTCGAAACTCGAGTACACCTGCCTGGCCCCACTCCAGATAAGGCACTCACAGC